GCAAGGACAGATGCACGCGAGAAGGAAGTCTGGCGCCTCGCGCATGAGATGGTTGACGGGACCCAGTCGACGACGCCGCCTGATCCATTCCAGATACGCGCCTCCCAGTATGCCGAAGCATACTATGGTAGAAATGGCCTGGGTGTTCTACGCCCGTGGGCATTTCTGCGGACTCCCCAGGTCACACATGTGTTCCGTCTCGTGTATCCGACCCTCGTCGCCGCCTCCAACAACACGGCGTACCTATGGGACATCGCCACCGGGATTCTGGAGCAGACGCTTCCGGATCTCCAGATGGCGCAGACGGGCACGGAATCGCTGGGCGAGATACAATGCGTGGACGTGAATGAGCAAAATGTCGTCCTGTGCGGTGAGAACGAGGTTCACGTCATCGCCAGGGCCGGCGGCGCGCTGGTGTTCCGGATGCCAGGCAAGACGGGGTACGCCAAAACCATCCTGTTCCCGAAGACACCACAGCGGCGTCAGCCTCGACAGGAGATAGATTCACATTTGACCAAGAGGCTGCACGTCGCGACGGTCTGCTCTTCAGGCGAGTATCCTTGGTTGCAATTTCGAGCGGGTGAGTGCGCTTTGAAGATAGACGTCAATGGTGAGCCGCTGAACCCGCCTCGCAGCCCAGCTGTCTGCGTGTGGCCGCGACCTCGCCTGTTTACTCAAAGACGGGCGTGTTGTACTCGTCCGTGACTACGAGAGCGTCGCCGAGCAGCATACACCGATCGAAGATGCCGCTCTAGAAATCTTCCTCACCCACTCCCGCTCGCAGGACAAGAGATTTGGGTACTCCTTGGATTTTGCACACGACAGAGTGGCAGTAGCCACGGTACGCACCTTCCCGCCTTCGTTCGCGTCTTGAGACTCATTTCAGACCTTAGTCTGCTGGCCTGTTCATAATGACACTTGACGCCTGCACCCGCCGTCTGCTTGACCGTGAGCCTCCACCCCCGATCAGTACAGGCAAAGGGAAGGCACGCGAAACCGAACCGCCCACGCAGAATGCCGCAGACGTGATCGTCGTATACTCCCCGCGCCTGAGCAACTGGGAGCTCATGGCAGACGTCAGTTGGGTGCAGATGTCCGCGACGCACCTGTATCTTGTCTACAAGGCGAGCAGGATGGAGCTGAAGCGGGACCGTGGTATGCGGGTCGACTACTTCCGAGTCCGCGGCGAGCGGGGGACGCCATCGGAGACGGCGCTGTATCTGTACGACGCTGAGCCGCTCATCATGGAGGAGATCCATTTTGAGGGGTGGAGAGAGCGCACTTTAGAATATCGCCGTGCCCCAAGTAGTGAGTGGTATGTCTCATCGTTGGGATGGGCAGGACTGACGCGGAGGGGTGTCTAGAACCTGGGAACAGCATCTGCTGCATTGATTTCAGCGCTTGAAGCACACTGCGCGCACAGTGACCTCAATGCCAGCGTGTCATCAGCTTGTGTGTCCGTGTCATATCGACATCCTCGCACCACGGTGGCGCGAAGGATGTGTCAATGAACGGTCATTCGGTAGAACCGAGATCGCTTCTTGGAATACGCGGCGGGCGCACGTATCAAGGGTCATAGTTTCTCGTATCGATATATATCACGAAGGTGTAGCCTTCAATGTATTGTGTCCTTTACCCTGGTCTATACACAATGATCACTCGTCCGACAGATGCGTAGGCGTCCCGACGTTTGTCATGACAGCCGCACACGACGGTTCCTAATAGTAACGACCCTTATGTGAGTACCTACCTTACGTTACTGTACCCCGACGTCTACCACCTTAGTGCCCCTTGCCTGAGACCTACCCAAAGCAGCCTGACAACAGCCCGAACTCTATCAGGGGAACGGAGCCGCTCTGGAGGCGGCCAGACGCGCACGCAAATAGTCCCGCCCCTGACTGAGATACCATGCCTGTCTGTCAGCCCTGCTGGAAAGTTCGTCGACGGCTTGGCCACTCTGGTGACTCCCGGGCGGGAGCACCCCCTCCGCATACTGTACATGCCCTTACCTTCCCTCTTTGCTCTCCCCCCTCTCTCCTCACGCACACGTTCGGAACTACACTCCCCCCCAACACGAGAGGCTACACTGACGCGCGACCACCTTCATATTTATGATCCTCGTACTATACACTCCCGCTATACTGTACATGCATCCCGCTACTCCTGCTCCGGCAGAGAGTACTTACTCAGTTCGACCCTGACTCCACCCTCCCCAGTAGCTACTTCCCCGTTGTACGCGTCGCGTCTACATAGGGCGCTGCCCTCGAGGACGTTAAAAGGAATCAAAAAAAATAAAAAAATAGTAACGACCCTCGTCATATGTAGAAGCGCTGTGCAGAACAATATCAATGTGATCATTCGCGTGCAACAACTACGACAAACACTCCTCCTACTCTCTAGCATACTCGCCCCCAGGCTGTGAACTGACCTAGAGCAACAAGTGTGACACTGCCAAAGTTGGCCTGAAGTCTATGCACAGCACCACGGCACCGAATTCTGTAAAGAGAGAAGTAGTCAGTGACTGCCCCGTCTAGTATCCGCCAATCACGCCTCACCTGCATACAGCGCCGCTACCGATTCTGGTTCCTCCTCAAGCATCTCATCATATGCATCCGTATCGTACGCCTCGATATCGAGTGTCCACCTATCGCTCGTCGCCTCTCGCTGCCCGCCCGTCAAGCTTGAAGAGCCCCGCGACGGGCCCTCGGGGAGGCGCTCTAGGATGTTCGCGCGGCGATGGTCCCACGTGAGGTAGAGCCGCGTCGCGGACATTTGGAGGCAGCTGAGGTTGACGAGGACGTGGGGGTTGCGTAGGCGCGGTATATACGCGGCAGCGAGGTATGGGAAAGATCTTATCTGTGAGAAGGTTGGTGTACTAGCGGCAGCTGCGTATGAGGCGCGGATGAGCCTCAGGGATGAACTATTGCGCGATGGTGGGACGTTCGGGTTCGTGAGTAGATGTTCCGTTGTGTCCAGTATGAATATATATACACCGGATGTCTGTTTGTACAAAGTGAGCAGGAGGCCGTGCGGAAGTAGGGAAGACGGCGCACAGTGATAACGCTTACGCGGCCAAATTCGTAGGCCAAATATACCCCGTTGGGCATTGCGTCCCTGGGCAGGGTGATATACAATTCAAGTGCAGCATTTGCGAGCGAAACATCACCTCTTGCGACGCGTTCGAAATCTTCAATCAGGAGAAGTCGGTTGTCTGATAGTAGTGCGACGAGATGCCGGCCACATTTTGAGACATGGGCTGGTATGAGATGCTGGTCAGAATTAGCAGCTGTCAAGGAGGCAGAGGGGATCATACCAGCGACGAAGGATGGAAGGGGCATATTTCTGGGTCCAGCGGCTGCAAGAACCTGTGCCTTGATAGGGACGACGACGTTGGGTGTGTCCCGTCGCCCCTGTGCGAGCAAGACGCGCGCTTTCGCGAAAGTGGACTGCGAATGGATGCGAAACGCGAGGGACCCGTCTGAGCGATTAAGAATGCGGAGTTCCTGCTCCATACAGATGAAGAGGTGTTGCGCGCTGACGTCGACATAGGATGTGGTCGCGCGATCGTCGTGGTCGTGGTCGTTATCGAACGGATCCACGTTGTGGATGTGGATGATCTGCACGAGCGTTGCAGAGGTGAGGTCCCAGAGGTATGCTGCGTCGATAGATACGACGGCGAGGGTTGGGTACGAAAAGCGGTATGCGAACGTGGGCTGCAAGGTATGAATGAGGCACCAGGGTTTGAAGCGCGCACGACTGGTAGGATAAGTTGCGCCAGAAATTTGGCCGGCGTTGAGCTGACGGTTATCGGGGGACGCATGCACAGGAATCTCAGAAGGGTTCAAGTCCGTGCTGAGCCGCCAGACTTCCTTGTCACTATCGAAGCGATCAAAGATGAGGAAACCATTCTCGTATTCGAGGTGTGCATGCGTCCGCACATAGTTCTAGGCGAGACGTAAGCTTAGTTTTGCACACATGAAAGGCACAATTTACGTTAGGGAGCTTCCACAATAATTCTCCAGACTCGAGGCATGTTACGCGGATGTTTCCTTTTTCATGCGAAGTTAGAAGTAAGCCATGTTCTTCATCCACCTTGATCCGATGAACGTCTGCGTGCTCTGAGCTATAAATTCTAGGGATAGCTGATCCCTGGCCAGCCCAATTGCGGTCAAGCTCTAAGCAGAGCTGGCCTATAGTATAGGTTCAGTGGAAATCGCTGGTGCTCATTCTCGGCCACGCACAGTACTGCTTCCACGATGTCGTGTACGTGAACGGGTAGGTGGAGTTCTTCGAATCTGCCACCGGAGGGTCGATGCTTGTGGCACCGTCCACATATCCATGTAATGTGGCGGCTTGACGATATACAAGGGCCTCGTTCTCATTGATAATGCGATTGAGCACCCTCGCACTGCGGGTAAACCTGTGCAACGATTGGAGCGGGAGGTATCGGATGATTTGAAGCAGCAGTTCGATGGGAAGTTCTTGCAAAAGCGACATGCAGAAGAAAGACCAGGAGGATGTGTACGTGGGCAGCCAGTGGTTAAGTACGTGAACTCAGATTCCTGAAGTAAAGGCATGATCAGCCAGGTCAACATATATGTTTCGTGATAGGACACAGGGAACGGCGCCGACAATGCTCGGCTTAATGGCTAGATTTAGCATTGAGTGCGTGTGTTTTAACTCACACGCCCGGCCGTCTATCACTTTTACAGTAGCGAATGTCGTTAGAATGCATATCTTGCAGGACAACTCCGACTCATCGCGATCCGCTCAACCACTGGCAGCCGAGTCATAACTTGATCACATCCAGATGAAGTCAGTAACACAGAAGAATGCTCACCAGGCCAAATGAAAACCCCTCGTTCCTTTCTTGCGTGTGCGATGTGGTAAACAAAGAGTCTGTGACCCAGGGAGGAGACAAGGCAGCGCCGCGCACAACTGCCAGGGTGTTAGGCGTTTCCTTTGGGACCCATATTACAAGACGCATCTCCATGATACATGGCAACATGGCCGAGTGGTCTAAGGCGCTAGAATCAGGACATTCGCTTAGTCATCTAGTCCTTCGGGGCGTGGGTTCGAGTCCCACTGTTGTCATTGTTTTGTTTCTGCTTGAAAATCTTCTCGCTCGTTGACCCACACCTGGACATCCACTTTTTGCATCTTGCTTGGCTTCTCACTCTCTCACTAGCCGTTGTATGCTTGTATGAAGACACACAGCAATGGGAATTCATGGCCTCACGACATATCTACGCGAGAATAGGATGGCTTTGGTCCACTCTACCACCTTTCCTCTTCATCAAGCGACGGGGTCCACTACTATAGTAGTTGATGGTTGGTCGTGAGTTTATGTGTCATAGATGTGTCCATTGATCTCAAAAAACTGGACTTGGGTTCCATTTGAAGGTTCATATTCGAACTGGCGAGCTGGGCAGGCCTCCCGTGGATCTACGGCGGAGAATACGAAGCATTCTCTCGTCTGGTAATAGAGGTTGTCACGGCATGGAGGAGCGTTGGGTTGCATGTATGCTTTGTATTTGACGGTGAGCCTAACGCTTCCACGTCCATCACATCCACCCATGTTCTGAGTCGTACAGGTGCTTACCCGGCTCTGAAATTCCCCACATTGGTGTCCCGCGCAACCCAGACCACCATCCAGGTCGGCCAGTTGTTCTTCCGCACGTCTAGTGCTGCACGCTCCACCCCCCGGTTCCTCCGCGAAAACTCCCTTCTCCCCCCTCTCTCTTTCGCTGCCTGCGTCCAGACGTTGCGGGACCTTGTCGCCGAGTCTGAAGGACCACCATGGCTCGAACTCCACTTTGCCGATGAGGAAGGCGACCCGTACGCCGTCGCTCTTGCCGCACGCCTCAATGCGTACGTAGTCGGCAAGGACTCCGATTTTGTCATCCTGAATGCCGATGGCTATCAAGGATACATACCTCTCGATGAGATGGTCTGGGTTGCCGAGTCTGCTTTCTCGGAGACGGCCAGCACCACGACAGAGGTAGAGGACGATGTCGACGCTAACGGATTCAAAACCGTCCGTAAACCCAAATCCCGCAAACGCGAGCAGGAGAGTGCACTCGTAGGTCGGGGAATTATCCCCCCTCCAGCCACAGGCGACGCCACGCTGTCGCTCGTCTGTAACGTCTACACCCCCATAGCGCTGGCTACCAAGCTGCAGATCCCCGTCTCACTCCTCCCCCTGCTTGGCGCGCTCGTCGGGAACGACTTCACTGGCGTATCCTCAGACGCTGTGCCCGCCGCGGCCCTGCGCAATCGCAACCTGCAGTACATGTTCTTCGAGCGCCAGCTCACGCTATCACAGCGCATCACGCGCGTCGCAGACACGCTGCGCGAGCTGCTGGGCCCAGAGCAGAAGCGCAAGCGTCGGAAGCCGATCGAGAGCGTCATGGAGCTCATCGACGCGGCGGTGCATGCGCTGCTGCTGCGCGCCCCCGACACGATGGCTTCCGGAGAGATGGAAGCCATCGTCGAGCGCATCGTCGAGGCGACGCTGCAGTATGCCATCCCGTTGAGTGACGCATCGCCGGAAACATGTGCACTGCACGGAGAAGGCGCGTGCCGTCTCCTTCACTTGTTCTCGCGGTTGTTCACTGGGAATGAGGCGGAGCCCAATGCCCATACTCGAGTGCGCAACATGTACGTTGCTGCGTACCGCCGAGGGGAACTGTCTCCCCGAGCTTTGGATGTGCTGAATACTGGGACATCCTGGGTACGACTCGCGCTCGAGGATCCGGATAAGGAGAGTGTCTCGCGCAGCGTGACGCGGCCCATCCGCCTGTGGTGCTACGCCATCCTCGATGCTGGTGTCGGGCTCCCGGTGTCTGAGGAAGGAGATTCCGATGACGAGCTGATAGATGTGATAGAAGAAGACTCGGACGAAGACTACTTGTCACCCCTGCGCACTGCGCTAGAGCGTCTCGACCATTCAGTGATCCCTGGAGATGCGCCGATATCGCCACCACGAATACCGAAGATCGTCACAGAATACCTGCGGCGCAGCACACGGTTGGCGTCGGAAGAGGTGACCGTGCCGTTCCTTGGAACTCTCTTAGAGGAGGTTGCTATGGATGCACCAGGAGGCCAACTGCCCATTCAGCTGTGGCCGGAGGAGCTACGACTTACTTTCCTCCTACGGGCCCTCGGCTCAGACACGCCACAAATACGTAGATTCTGCGGTGCATCGCTGACGGCTGTCCTTGTCCTTCGGTGGATCATAACGCACATGCACGCGCGCGCAGAAGAGAGCCCGACCCAGAGGGAGAAACAGTTGCAGCGCTGGACGCGAGAGGAGGTCCAGGGATTCCTCTCTACGTTATCGTCCTCTCGGGAGGCAAGCCTCCCTGAGACCGATGATGCGATACCCGTCGAGGAGCGGAACATCCAGCTCGTCACGCAGGTCGGCCTCACAAGTGACGCTATCGAACAGTTCGCGCAACTGCTCTTCCTGGGACGTATCGTCCCCAATCCGATGCTCCATTTCTCGGGTGTCCGTCTGCACCGCTCATTGACTAGTCCGGGCGGTGCAGACGTGGCTGAAGACTTGTTGGAAGCCTGCCTGGATGGCCTTCCAGACGGTGCATTGATGACGAAGCACACGAAGGCAAAGAAAAAACGCAAGGACCGCGCTGCCGCTGAGGTCGTCCCGTCGACTGCACCTCAGCAGAAGCGGCGGGGTATACCAGCGGCTAGCAATATGTACGATGTGTTGGCAGCGATGAGTGCGTGAGTGTACAGTCTATATTATCAATGTAGCGTTACGATTCTGTGGTCAGTGGACTCTTGACCTAATTGTACCCTTGCTATCCACCACCCCTATGTTACGCAGCTGAATGTACGGTGTCATATATTCCATGGGACAGATAACATTCCCTCTCCCTTATAACTAAGTATCGACAAGTCCAGCTATTGATCTAATGCGTCCATGTAATGAGCGATGACAACTCTTACAGGTCCTCCGACTCGTCTACATTCAAAATCAACCCGACAAAAAACCGCACCATCCCAACCTAGCAGCACCGACGCGTCGGACTTCTCTGCCCGCTACCCGGCTGTTACCGAGTTTTCCCCCTTGCTATACATAGCGTCACACCCTCTGATGGACCCCGAGTTTTTCACCATGATTAACACGTTAATAACACTGTGAAATTGAAAACCACCACAGTGACAAACTATAGTGCTCTTCCCGGAACCGTAGTTCTCATTAAAAGATCATATATGTAACTTTCATTAGCTGTGAAGAATAGTAACAAGGTAATGAGAGCCGTACAGTTATACAGACCTCAGTAGCTGGTAAGCATTGTGTCAAGCTAATACGAGACATGTAACTGGACACCAAGTTGAACGACGACACGTGTATGGAATGACTGCCTTATTTGGACACTTGGACGTAAGGCTCCAACTATATCATATATATACTGTGTATATACGGTTTATACCGTATACTATATCCATGTATGTACCGCAGCATGGGTATATGGATATATAGTATACAGTATACAGTATACGGTTACTTAGCTATTATGGTAAGGCGCATCAGCATGAGGCTCTCGATCGGCGGTCGGGGCTTCGGGCACAGCTACATGTCTGCTTAGGTAAGCTATGGGTGCACGTCGGGCCTTCGCACGTTTGCATTGCTGGCCTCACTGTTCTCAGCTGCATTCCTGTATCTACTCAGTCTGCATACATAGTACACTATGGCTGTCTCTGCCAAAGCTCTCATTCAACTTGTCAATACCATATCTGTCCTGGTCAAACAACTCCCACCCACTGTCCCGGAGGCGACACGTGAAGACAAGATACAACGCGTGATGACGGGGCCCATTCCGAGAGGCGAGCCGCACCATGAGACGTTCAACCGCCGGTTCGACGCGCTCTTCGGCGAAGACTGTCGTGATGAAGATGGACGCCTTCTGCACGTCAAGCATGGGCGTTCGGGGATGATGCTGGTCTCGACTTACCTTAACCGGATCATCGACACGGATGACATGAGAAAACAGGCCGCAGTCGTCATAATTAAGCTCGAGCGGCTCAAAAACGAGCTGGAATATCTGTGGTCAGCAAACACGAGACAAATGGCAGTCAGCTACTCACTCACCTGTATTCATTGCAGCAACACTACCGGCGGTGACACCGTGCACGCGGAAGGAAGTACGCGTGCGTCGAACACAGCTCAGACGTGTCACGCCGGTGGCAGTGCAGATGCTGCATCCGGTGCGATCGACACGCAGGAAGGCGCGGTCTCGGTCGCGACTGCTGGCATTGATGGTGGGATGGTCACGTCGGAGACGGCGAGATCGAAGGCGGGTGGGGAGGCTGCGCAAACAGATGCGGTCAATGAGCGCGAGGCTTCGCGTGAGAGAGACGGCGAGCTGGAGGTACATACCGAAAACACGGGCCCACCTCGCAGTGAAGGTTCGTGAGCAGCACAGCAGGTAGTCAGTCAACAGAGACAGATTACTTACCTTCAATGTCTGGTGGCAGGCGTCGATGGCGCATCTGCGAAACAAGCGGCACCTCTCCCCGACTCAGATGACGACATTGTCACCAAGCCTCCCAAGCGATCTACCACCGGGGTATGTTCGTTACTGCAGAATGTAATTATATATTGCAAACATGTTGACACACCATGACCTAGTCAAAACACAAACACGTCCTGGAAAGTTCGAGCGAGGAGAGTGGTGATGAAGCAACCAGCTCGAATGAGGACGAGGGTCGTCCCGATGATGGGAGCGGAAGCGATGTACCGGCAGACAAAGACCAGAGTGGGAAAGGCAAGGAGAAGCAGAGGGTAGCCGGTACACGGCGTGCATCGAGTGTGAGTGGTGGGCGTGAATGCTGACGTGTAGTCGTGAGCTGAGGTGGCCGTGCGATGGTCAGGCCAAAGACGCGCCCGAGAAGCGTGCCCGCTTGTCCAACGGCGGCTACAAACGACCTGCGCGTCCCAAAAAATCGAGGAAGACCGCCACGCAAGGCGCGACAACCTCAAATCGCGCCGTCAGCGAGGAACCTGCATCGGACGGCGAGTCAGCATTGCATGACGTTCAGTCAAAGGAGGCACGGACACGTGCACC